ACTCTTTAGTTTCCATGGGATTACATCTATAAGGTGGTTTGTTAGGAAGGGGTGCTCCCGGAATTAGGTCAATTTGATGTTCTATCCCACGAATGGGAGGTAATCCTAAAGGCAACTCATTAGGAAAAACATCCTCATAAGCTTTGATTAATTCGGCCAACCTAGGGTTTTGTTGAACAAACCCTTCATGCTCCTCCTTAGACAGCAACAAAAACACCTCATCTTCCTTCTCTAAGGTCTTTTCGAATTCTTTGAAAGAAAGTAACAAGATTTCCTTTCTTTTGGGCTCTTTTTGTGGTGTTTGTGGTGGTGGGAATTGTGTTTGGGGAATCTTTTTTTGTGGTGGCAAGGGATGCAACACTTTCTTGCTGCCTTGGTGGATGATAGTATAGGTATTAGTTAGACCATCATGGATTGATTTTCTATCACTTTGCCATGGTCTTCCTAATAAAACGTGACATGCATCCATAGGAATGACATCACACAAAATCTCATCAACATAAGAACCAATCTGAAATTTTACCAAGCATTGTCTCCTAACTCCCGTACTCTTACTCTTATCAAGCCAACTCAATTTGTAAGGGGTAGGGTGTCTAGTGGTTTTCAAATTAAGTTTTTTCACAAGGTCACTTGATACAACATTTGCTTCACTACCACTATCAACAATTAAGTCACAAACATCTCCATTAACCTTGCATTTGGTTAAAAAGACATTCTCTCTTTGCAAAGGGTTTCTTTCAACCTCAACTTGCATTTGTAAAGCTCTCCTCAAGACTAGGCTGTTTTTTTCGGGGAAACAATCATCACCTTGTTCCTCCTCTTCATTAGAATCATAAGATTCCAAAGGGTCATTTTCAACAACATTCTCGTCCTCTAACTCCTCATCTAGGCTAAAAGGTTGAGCCATAATATTTTTTAGCTCTCTCATGGTTAAAGCTCTAGTATTAGGACAATCCCTCTTATAGTGTCCTCTTCCATGACACTTAAAACACACTATGTCACTCAAGTCCCCGGTTTTGGCAACAGCTTTGCCTTTTTCTTTTGGGTCAAAGGAACTTGGGTTTTTTTTGGTGGAATTTGGAAAAGAAGAGTTTTCTTTTGGTGGATTGAATGGGCGTTTGTATTTTGGCTCAAATGGATTAGAAGGCTTTTTCTTTTTCTTTTGATTATCAAACTTAACAGCAAGTTTGCAAGTTTCATCGAAAGTCAAATTGGGTTGCACTTCTATCTTTTCAAGGATCTCCTTATCTAGACCAGCCATAAACCTCCCTAGTTTCAAATCCTCATTTTCCACTATTTCACAAATAATGGATAATCTTTCAAATTCTTTTATATACTCCTCCACACTACTACTACCTTGTTGCAAGGTACTCCATTTAACATACATGGATTGTTTGTAATTAGAAGGCACAAAACGTTCCCTAAGTTTTTTCCTAAGCTTGGTCCATGTAGAAATACGAGTTTTCCCATTGCTTTCTCGTTTTCTTTGGACTCCTTTCAACCAAGTTTCAGCATACTTGGCTATCTTCACCTTAGCAATCTTGTACTTTTGTTCATCTTCCTCAACGTCTTTGAACTCAAAGTACCTCTCAAGTGATTGCTCCCACTCCAAGTACTTCTCAGGGTCAAGAGTACCATCAAAAAGGTCTACATCCACCTTTAGACTCTTGTCATCATATCTAGGAGGGTTTTGACGCCCATCCCTTTGTTCTTGTGTCAACAAACGAGCCATTAGAGCCATTATATTACCATGTAATTGCTCATTGGTTTCCAAGAGCCTTTGTTGGTTTTCCTCCATAATTCTTAGTCTCCTTTGGTCGACGGTTTCATTTGGGTTTGCTTGATCCATTTGGACAGAAACTTCCCCCTACCTGACGCGCCAAATGATGTGAAAACTAATAGATGAAATTAGTTTAAACAAGTTAATGATTCAAGCTTAAGCAAAGGATTGATTTTAGGTTGGTGTTTAGGTACGTTTATGTAGAATTTAAGTGTAGGCTTGTAAGGATTTCTCACTTAACAAACAACGATATGAAGGCAAGGATTTCTCACTCAACCTACTAAGTTCAAATTGTATGGAAGGATTACTCACTTGACCACTCAATCTCTTCAAGTCTAACTTGGTACAAAACCGGTTATTTCACAAACAAATAATCAGTTTTTAAGTTCAAGCAAAAGCTCTTTTTCATTGATCAAAGTCTGATTACAAACTACCATTACATGCCTTTTATAAGCAACTAAAAGAACTAACAATCATTGCTTAACTTAAAGAAGCAAAAGACTGATTTATTACAACTAGACAAAGAAGCTAAACTTAAGCCTAGAATTACGCCCACATGAGGCAGACTTTTAGGCTTCACATGCCCCTTAACGTCCTTCATTAAACTGATTTAAACTAGCAAAGAAAACAACTACAAGAATTCATCAAAAACCGTTGGGGTAACACTTGTAACCCCCCCTTGATTCAAGCCTCCTTCATTATTCATGCACTGAAGTTTTCTCCTTGAATTCCTCTCCATTCCCACGTCTTTCCAACTGAAATAGCTGTTCAAAAGGCTTCAATTAACGTGCTCTAATGAGCAATTAAGCAAGTCAATCCATGATTAAAACCAAACGGACCATGAGCAGCAAAAGAATCCAAGGTTTGGTCTTCAAATGATTTCGCAAGTATTACTTCTTTGGATGAAACGTAACTTGGACTTGTGCTTGGACTTGAATGAGAATTGTGACTAGGGCTGATAGGACTTTCGTGATTTGCATCATATATAATATTCCATTCACCCATTCACTTCTAAAGTGAATGGCCCCTTGCAATTTTTAAAAACATCACGAGCAATAATACACAACTTGTATCAAAAGGCGGGCACTAGTTACCAACTTAGGTCGTTAATCCGATTAACATTCCTAATCAAAACTAGTCAAGTGTTTATCCAATTATGTGAACTAACGCAATAACGATAAGCATAATTAAAGCTTAACGAGCTCAAAACCGATTAATGAAGCTCCCACTAAATTCCACATCCAACTTAATTAATTTAATCAAATTAAATTTTAATTAAATGAATCGAGTCATTTGTCAAAAAATTTGCAAGTACGTGAAAAACCGAGGTCGAGCCTCGTTTAAACAAAATCGTAAAACCAAGCTAAGTACATAGCTCCCGAGCCAAAGGTTAGGAGCTGCTAGGCTGCCTAGTAAGCTTTGTGTGCGTGGATGGCAGCATGAGCCTAGTAGTGCACTAAGGCAGCAGCAAGCACCATAGCTACACAGTATGCCTAGCATGCTTGCGTGCTGCTGCTGCTGCTAGCAGCGCTCTTTGTGCGCGCTAGCACTCGTAGCAGGTGTTGCTTGGTGTGAGGAGGGTGTGCCTATCGTTGGGGATCCTTCTGCTCTATGCCCATGACCCTTTAAAATCCTAAAAATTTACACTTTTTAGAGTGTGTTAGGATTTGAATTCCTGACTGTTTAGGGGACCTTCAATTAGAGTAAATCCTCTCATTACGCTTTTTTGTAAGAAACTAATAAGGAGTCGCTAATGAGTTTTAGGAAAACTCATAAACCTCGTTCATGCCTTTCTCCCAAGTAGGGTTCAAGGGATATTTAACATGAATCATAAGTTTACCCATGCCCAAATTGGTATACTTGTACCAAAAATGAGTTCGGGAGCGAGGGTACTAAAATAACGTTCCTTTTAGGGAGGAATCGCTATTCTAGCCCAAGTGCGGCCTCTACTAGCTCTTCCTTTTTCACAATTTCATTACCAAACAATATATGCAACGTGATACCTAAAACTAAGTTAGTTGATTTTTTTTACACACGTTAATCACATAAAAATTACATTGCAACGAATTTCGTTATTCTTTGTTATTCAAATTCGTGAAAAGAATAGGAAATAAACAATATTCGCCTTGACTTAAGTGATAAAACAACAATTAATTATTCCAAATCTAGTCTTTAATTAACGCAAGATACTATGTGAAATTAATCAATTAAAGTTTATTTTAGGTGATCAAATAACACTAATTAATTGATTAAAAATTGTTTAATCAAGAAAAGAAAGGTGATATATCTAAGTGCTTGGGAATTTACCACTTTTCCATGCTATATCTTCATTTAGAACACTTATGGACTCCTTGTTCGAGAACCTCCATCGTAAGAACAAACAATTAAAGGGTGAGTATTTAGGACAAGGGGATGATTAGTGCATAAGCTCACAAGTTTCTGCTAACTTTTTAGGTTAATTTATGTGTGTTTCAAAGCTCGTATTAAACCTCTATTTATAGGGAATGGGTGAGTTTAAGGTTTTGAACATTCTGCCGCAGCAAGTGGCTCGCACAACTCAACAGGTTGCACAAGGCTGCTGCGCGCAAGTGATTAAGTCGTGTTGTACTAGGCAGCGCAACCTATGATCTTGCGCGTGGCTTTATGGTAAGATTCGATTCAGTATCACTACTACATTTAAGAGCTAATACAACGGATTTTTTTGTTGTATTAGGTGTCAAAAACCGTTGTATTAAACCTAATACAACGGTTACCAACCGTCACATTTGCAAGGGTTGGATTAGGTCTAATACAACGGTAAAATAGACCTAATTCAACGGATTGAGCAATCCGTTGGATTAGGTAGATACCTAATCCAACGGTTTCTTCAATCCATTGGATTAGGTTCCCTTTTGTTTTTTTGGGAATAATTGGACCTAATCCAACGGATTGATGAATTCGTTGTATTAGGTATCTACCTAATCCAACAGATTTTTTGCCCAATCCGTTGGATTAGGTCCTTTATTTTTTTTTTACATCCGTTGTATTAGCCCCCCCCCCCTTTTTTTTAATACCGTTGTATTAGCCCCCTTTTTTAAAAAAAAAAAAAAAAAAAACCGTTGTATTAGACCCCTTTTTTTTTTCTTTTTGTTTTTTACAACCGTTGTATTAGGTAAATTCTTTTTTTAAATCTATAATAATAAATATAAATTATATTAGTATATTTAGAATTTAAATAAAAAAAGTACATATAATATATCTTCGTTGCATTACAAAATAAACGAAGTACATATAATATATATTCGTTGCATTACAAAAGTAAACGAAGTGTCAATACTAACTAATTATAAATGAAAGTTCACTAGCTAATTAATTAACAAACGTTTAATTTGAAAGCTCTCTAGAAGTTGCAATAGATACATAAAATCAACATTAGTCCTTACTTCATTCATCCCGGGGTAGCTCATCGTCATCAACCACCTAAGTAAAAAAAGTAATGCATAAGCCACAATACCAACAACTATAACAACACCAATTGGGGAAATTAAATAACGCACAACAACACACAAATCAGTCATCAAAGTACAAAATATACAATAAGAGAACAAAAATCAGACATCCTTGGCAAGATATCATAATTTTAACAGTTTTCCACATCCAATGGTAAGTGAAATCAAACAAACAAAAGACATCAGAAGGCTATATCAACAGTTTGAGCTAATGCTATGTTTAAACAGCTCGAAGTTGTTAAATACCAGGAACATATTAATGTAGAATCCTGTAAAGATTTAAGCAATACTTGTATGCAGTATAGTATTTTTACAAGGGCCTCGGCCCCCTTGGGATAAAACAAAGCTTCATCCCAGGCTAAGAATTACTTAGAGAGATTGATTACTTTCTGACAGAAAGAAGTCATATTGAATATTGGAAGATAAATAAAAGGGGAGAGACTGACTATCATCCAAAGATAAAGGTTTTATGAGATTCCTCAGGAATCCAAGTTATCAAAATGGAAACCCACTTCCAGGATTTAATACATCAAAGAGATAAAAATAGAAGTTAAGGCATTTTAGATGTCTCTGCTATAGACTCTAATACCGGCAAGGCCTTTCGAGTGTATGAGCGAAGAGACCGAGGTGGGGGACAACAGGAGGGAACAAGAAGGAACACAACAATTACACACAAGGCTTAGGCAGCCTTGTTAAGCCGTCACTTTTGGAGAAAGAAGGAGAAGTCAGAAACACTTTTGCTCAAGGACACCTTTGCACAGAAAGGACCATTGGATATTGAGCTCTTCCCTAGTAAAGTTGTTGGTTAATTAGTTGTAATTTAGCTATGATGTTTTGTAAGCTTTAGAAGCAACTCCTTGTATTAATAGGAAACCACTCATGTTGGAGGGTCATTGAGAAAATTGTAAACACATTGAGAGAATTGTGGCCTAAAGCTACTAAGAGATTCATGGCCTTAAGTCATGCGTTTGTAATCTGAAATTAGTTATTAATAAATACCAACATTCTCCCTAAAAACATTAATTACACTGTTCAGTCAATTATTAGCAATTAATTTCTTGAGTGAGCCTTGATTTTCTGTTTCAATTGAATTAGAGTCAGAGCAGGGAGGAGTGAGAGTTGCTGCAGCAGGGGTCGGCTAGCTAGTCTCTGACAGTCTCACATGGGAGACAAGATCCAGCATAATGTGATCAGCATACGACATTAATTATCGCACACCTGATTGTTATGCTCGGGGAATGCTAGAGGGAGATAAGGAGTGGAATGATGCAAGTTGTGAGGCTCTATATAGGCAAACTCAGCATAACTACGCCAGCCCCTTCTATAGTAGGCAGGTAGGCAGGTAGGCAAGCAAGCAGGCAATCAGTCAGGCAGGCAGGCAAGCTTTCAGTCAGGCAGGCAAGCAGTCAGTCAGGTAGGTAGGCAAGCAAGCAGGCAGGCAGGCAGGCAAGCTTTCAGTCAGGTAGGCAAGCAGTCAGTCAGGCAGGCAAGTCAAGCAGATTTTCAAACCAATTCATCACTGAAGCTTAAAGATCACCACTGGAAATACCATCAATTTATCAGAGCAATACCAGGCTTATGCAATAAATGCCAACATGTGTGTGTGTGTGTGTGTGTGTTTATGTTGCATGTCAGCTAGGTGAGCTAACCATATCCAATTTGTGAAGATAGAGAAATGTGAGTACAACATAATTAGAATCAAAATACAAATGACAGAAAGCTAGTTTGAATATGTACTTATCAGACAGTAACAAAATTAGATGAAAATCAGACACAAGCATGCAGTAATCAGTTTAGTTGTTCACTTACGCTTAGAAATTCAAATATGCACTTATCATATCCTCTCAAGAGTATGAATCTACAATTACTGAACTAATTTACAAAAAGTGAAGTAGTTTCTCCAAATGGGTCACTTAGTTAGAGAATGGATCACTTAGGTGTAACAACAGCACACAGGGTTGCGGTTAGCTAGCAAATCGATCACTTAGGTGTTGATACTTGCTACAACACAGGGATTCGCAGCACAAATCAATTAGCAGATCATGTTAGTGTGGAGATAACCCATTGTTGCTAGCCTGTTATGATCATAGATATCTGCTCATGCAATCCTCAGGTTTCTAAGAAAAATGGGAAAGAGATATTTGATGTTGACTGAATGCTCTAACTACAACAGAAATGCACCTATCAAGCACCTCCAAATCATCATTCCTCAATTGACAGAAATGTGAGTCTAAATTCAGGTTTTTCCTCCAGAAAAGAAAGTATGTGTCTATGTTAGATGTCGAATTTAAGTCCATCCCATAAAATTACTAAGCACTTAAAAGATAGATGACTTCATATTACAAAATCAACAATGGCAACAACAGCCACTAAGTAGTACCTATTACAGTTTTGATGGGAGTGTGGAGAGGTTTACATTGATACGACTCCACCGGTAAAGGCATACCCTCAGTCGTAATCAAGAAACAAACAGAAACTAAAAAAGAGACTCCACCAAGGTAGTGTTTCAAACAGGTAGTCATGTCTATTTTCTTCTAAACAGGTAGTCATGTCACTCCTAGTTGACATATATTTAGACCCGGAAAAGCACAGCAGCATTGAAATTGCTCTTCACATTATAAAATGGGAATAATGCACCACGAATAGAGAACATCCGTAGCTGCAGGCTGAACATTGCACTGATGCAAAAAAATAACCTTCGAAGCAAATTCTCCACTTCTTTCCACAATACTAATAATTCAGTTCTCCACTTGTTTTCGCTCTTTAACATTTCACTTTAGATGTGGTAGTAGTACTAATAAAAATTGACCAAATTCTCCACTTCTTTCCACAATACTAATAATTCAGTTCTCTGCTTGTTTCCATTCTAAACCCCCAAAACTTACAGAACCTTTCATTTCATTCATTAATTTTTTTGAAGTTTTCAACTTTATTCTAAAAGAAAGAAAAAAAAAAGAAGAAAAGCAAGTATGGCAGTTGTAGAGATGGTAGTTTCAGCAATGTTTAAAGAAGTGTTGGAAAAACTGGTTTCTGAAGGAGTGAAGCAGTTCGCGAAGCTGATTAACAAAGGAAAGAAATCAGCTAACTAAAATTTCACAAAGGACTTTTCATCGGTGACATTCAATGGGAGATAACTAAAATTTCACAACAAAAATCAGCTAACTTCAACAAGTATATTTCAAGTATTCCCAAATAAACCCCCAAAAAAAATTAGGGTTCATAAGTCGAAAAACCACCCCAACAACCACCCTCAAGCAAGCAATCAGCCACATGCAACATTCGAACAAATCAACAAATCTAAATCCAAATATTCGAGCAATCAGCCACATGCAAGGTTCAAACTAAAACTAAATACAAAACAAAATCAACCTACCTCAGATAGAGATTCGAGCACAGCAAAACGAAACGGCGAGGAAGGAGAACGAAGCAACGGCGACGGGTGACGAGGGTTAAATCGGTCGCTACAATCTAACTCTCAATCAAACAATACTTATACGAACACCCTATAACCAAGTACAATGGCAAATAAAGGTTCGGTCCACGATGAACGAGAGTAATTGCAAATCAATCTTAAACCTAAGCTAGTTTGAAATCAATGGAAAATGGTGTTCTAAAATACTACTAATAACATGGAATAAATCAATAAACTAAGACACTAGGGAGAACGGGAATCCGCCTAACCATTGGTAACTAAGCAACAAGGAATCACAGAGACAAACGGGATATGCAAAGACTATAAGTCTGATCAATATCATGTGATAGGAAGACAACGGGCAATACTAAGCTTGGATTTCTCATGCACTTAACATTACTCGATACATAATCAAACCACATTCAATAATGAAATACTCAATTCACAATCTCTTGTTCAAATCAAGAATATCATGCAATCAAATTCAAGATTCTAGGTTAGCTACTCCTATTATAATGAATTAACATGCAATCGCATATAATCAATTTAATCACAATCCGTTTATCAAAATCAATCCTCAATTACATAGTTTACCTAGGCCGGGTTTCATCTCGAAACCCTAGCTAGGAGACTACTCACACATATTCATTATCAAAGCAATAATGAATTCCAAAAGCATAATAGATATAAACATGAATTCTGATTATGGAATAATAAAGCTTGATTAATAAACAAGAATAAATAATACCAATTGTATTGATGCGAATCAATGGAAAAGTTTAGAACTTTGATATCCGTCGTCAATGAATAATACAAAGAATCTTCGCAAATCTTGCTTCAAATCAATCCAAGAAAACTAAAATCTCTAGAAATATCTCTAAGAAAACTAATGAATCTCTAATACTAAGAACGTTCTCCAATAACTCTCTACAAAGGCTCTCAAAACTATCTCTAAAACTGTCTGAGGAATCCTCTTAAAGTAGGGCCTTATATACGTCTTCTAATGCGGAGAAGTCAAGCGCGCAGTTAACCCTGGATCAGCACGGCCGTGCTGTATTTGGCACGGCCGTGCTAGCTTGTCAGTAAGTAAACCGGATTTCTTCTTCAAATTGGCACGACCGTGCTATATATGGCACGACCGTGCAGCTTCCTGGCACAGCCGTGCTAAAAATGACACGGTCGTGCAGCTTCCTGGCACGGCCGTGCTAAAAATGACACGGCCATGCTGAATATGCTCTAGCACGGGGCTCATACTGAAGCTGACACGGGCACGGGCAACATCTGGCACGGCCGTGCTAATGGCCTGCACGGCCGTGCGGGTGCGTGGATACTGACACGGCCGTGCTATTGGCTTGCACGGCCGTGCTGCTTTGCCTGGGGTTGCTTGCTTATAGGCCAGCACGGGTGTGCCTATGGTAACACGGCCGTGCTGCCTGTGCTATGTAATCAATGCACGGCACTTGAACTTCCTTAACTCCTCGGACTCCGGTCAAGGCTAGCTCGGTTACGCATCAAGGGCTCGGGATCCGATTAAACTCGGTTGATATTACCTGAAAACACATCAAAAACAAACCGAAAACCCGTGAAGCACGTAATATGGGGAACGTAAGCATAACAAGGTAATAATCAGCCAAAGCGGCCCCAAATACATCCAAAATCATCCTAAAATATGCTCTAAAGCGCGCCCTAAAGTACGCTTGTCAAAACCCCCCAAGCTACACTTTTGCTAGTCCTCGAGCAAAAACCAAGGGAAACACACACAAGATCAAATAAACTATGCCATTGCGAACAAATCAAATTAAGCACGGAATGAAATCAATGGATCCTACTTAGAACAACCATGCACGGAAGGAAAACTCACTCAAACAAGCAACGAGACACACAATCCAAGATATCGTTGATCAAATGCGAACAAGACCTAAACCAAGCATAGAGAACAAAGAAATCATGCTTCCCTCTAAACCCGACCAAACCGGCCACGTCCTTCCCTTTTGCTTCAAATCACCACCCTAATTGGCCCCTCGTGATTCCTCGAAGGAACCGGAAGAAGTGATGTTTTGAGGAAATAACAATGGTATCCCGACATCTCGATTACGCATAATCTTTCCATAGGGTTGAAAGGTATCTCCCTCCACCGTTTGAGAACCGAACACCTCTAAAGTCTAAGGGTCTTAAAGGGTTGTAATGTATTGGCAATGGGTAAGGTAGGTGAAAACAATTTAAAAAAGTGGGGTTAATTCCTAAATGAAGCGCAAGAATCACAATTCTCAAAAACATTAGTTCAAAAGATGTAATTCTTTTTCCACAATCTCATTGATTCACATTCTTACACATCCCAAATTATCCATATAATACACACTCAAACGACCTCTTTCAAACTTCAAAACTTTATTTATGTGTCCTTGCCTTTTTCACAATTCGGACGACTTTTCTCTTCTTCTTTTTTCTTTTTAAATTCTTTTTTTTTTCTTCCTTTTTTTTATTGATGGCAAAATGACTTTCACATTACATATTTACAATTAGGCTCACTTTCACACCTTCTCAAACCAACTATCAAACTTTATTTCTTGATTAGTAAACAATAAGCTCAACAAACCTATCTAGGTAAACGCTTCACAACTAAGGGTTGGTAAAACATTGGCCATCGGGTTTGTAACACGGTTAACCAAGAATGGAATTAAAGCTCAACATGGTTAGCAAGTAAGATGATGTAAAAAGAAAATCAATTTGTTACAAAACAAAAGGAACAAAATAAGAAAAATGAAAAAGGTGCCCTCTTCCTCCCTTAAAAGTGTCAAGTCGGTCTCGGGAGCTACTAGTCAACACAAAGATCGAAAAATGCGTAATCAAGGATCCAAATATGCCACTCAACAAGAATGATGAAGGCTAGAACAAATAAACCTCACGGGATCTAACAAATAAAGCAACTACCAATCAAGGGGGTCAAATCCACAACCGGGAAGCGACTCCATCTTACCACAACCCAAAGGCATAGAGTTTCACATGACAAAAGTGTTCTATTTCTACCCTTCGCCTAGACTCGTCCACATTGATCAACAATAGACTCGAACTGTGTATTCATCATTGGCTTAAGTGGAAATAGACATTCCATACACATTCATTCACATTTCGAATCCAACATGAACAATATTCCAAAATTTTGCAATTAGACAAGTTTATTATGATCCAAAAACATAGGAAAAGACTACGAGGCATATCATATAAGCTAAACCACACATCCTCATAGCAGAAGCTTTTCCTATCTAACACAAACATATGTACAACTAAGCCAACTGAATAAGTTGAAAGGCACATAACGAGGCATAAAAATCACATAAAATCCCAATCGACAAACAAGTGATCGAATGATATCAACATCAACGATCCCAGGTTCCTTAGAACCGATCAAACATCCTCGAACCATTCAACTTCTTCCTAAACTAAACTATCCTAAGCACACAAAAAAAAGGAAAAGATCTCACCAAATTTGCTTCCCGGGAGCTCCAATTAACGCCCATAGCATCGTTCTTCAAACTCATGTCGCGTCTCGAATGTTCCCAATCTGCAAAAAGGAAAGACATACTAGCAAACAAGTTAAGGTTAGTCTAGGAAAGCAGTAAGTCTTTTTTTTTTTTTTTTGAATGAATACAAGTAAGACCCCCCCCCCCATGCTAGAATCAAACATTGTCCTCAATGTTTATACATCAAGGACTTACAATAGTAAGGAGAGGGAGGTAACAAAAGGGAAAGGGAAAGGGATCACGAGCTAGGCCCGCCCGGGCCATAAGGGAAACAAGAGGCCATATCATCAACACTCCTCTTCAGGTTTCTGAAGGCGGAGGTCATATCCTCGTTCGACCGGCGCCAATCCGCTACCTCGAGCTTCAAATCTTCCATTCCTTGGCGGAGCCAGGCGAAGTCTTGCGCCGGGATCTGCTGGGCCGCATCCGGGCCACCCTCCTCGTCATCATCATCAGCATCGTCACCTCCTTGGCCCCCGTGGGCCTGCTCATCCCCTGGTGAGGCTGGGGATTGCGGTCTACATACTCCGTGCCTCCATCCTCGTGCCAGGCGAAGTCGGGGTCGAAGATCCAGTTGTCTTTGTTGTAAACCACCGTCCTCTCGGGATCGGGCAAGTAGGCGTATGGCTTGCCTGCTACGAGCCACAAATAGCAATCCGGCTGGGATGTCCCTTCAAGCCACTGCATGGCTCTCAAGGTGTGCATATCAAGCCTCGTAGTGCCTGGGATAGCCTGCAATTCAGAAAAATCAATCCCATTATATTGCGCAAGAATGGTGATCATGCCACCGATAGTAATATCACCCCTACCCCGGGCTACACCGTCGAGGTGGTCTAGTAACCACGCTCCCATGTCTAGACGCCCGTCCCCACGGGTGAGGTGCCAAATAAACTGTAACTCCCTAATGGAGACGACACCCGAACTATCTCCTCTAGCAAAGATAGTAGAGGAGAAGGTCCTGTGGGACAACCGAAAGGCGGGATTGACGATGGAAGTCGCCTTATCCCTACGGGGATCTCTATCCATTTTCCCCGTGATTTGCCGCCAAAACAACCCGGAGTTGTAGTGTTTTGAGTGGCCATCCTTAGGACCATTTTTCAGGTCGGATGTCCACCCAAAGGCGGCATTAACTTGGGCCACCGACATTTGAATGGTGCCCGAGTTCATTAGTTGAAAGGACAAGTACCGGGGTGAGTTATTCTCATCCCGATGCACGTACAAAGAAGACAAAAATTTGAGGGTAAGCCTCTTGTAAGTGAGAGCATGCATGGTAAGGAAAGAATCAAAGTTGGTAAATGAAAATAGTTGAACCATGTCGCTTTCGATCCCTAGAGCCCTAGCGGCTAAAGGGTCGTAGAACTTGGTAGGCCGGATCGGTCGGTGGGATACTCCTACAAATTTTTCCAAAAAGGACGGGTTATTAAAAACAATACCCATGGTGTCCACCGTGGGTGGAACCATGGATGAGGATGCATCGTCCCGACCCGGTCTCCTAGTCGATGTCTTTGTTCTAGGCAGGTTTGATTCAAGAAATTAAGCACAATATACCAATTAACAAGCAAGAAACTATCCTAGCA